TACACACAGGGCCCAGAGAGGTAGGGGACCAAACCTCTCTCTGCCAAACTGAAAGTCCTTAGTAGGTCACAGTTTCCTTGTCCTTTTGTCTTCAGTTCCCCTCCCTCCACACCCCACCTGCCTCCTTCCCTTGCCCAGACAGCCCTATGATAATCCCAAACTTAGGTCATAGGCGTCCCAAGTGTCAGCCCTGCTTTAAGCTCCTTTGGGGGTTGCTGAATAAGCAAGTTCCAATAAACACAGTGGGAACTAGGCATGCAGCTGGCTGCTCATTCTCTTGGCCTAGAAAAGGAAACCATTTCTGTCAGCTTGTGGATCAGCCGCAATGTCGATGCTAGGCTAGCTGGGTCCTGCTCTGCTGGGAAACTCATGGTCCAGAGGGGAAGATGACGGATCTTTTGTTTTGTCTGTTTGTTTGTTTGTTTGTTTTGTTTTGTTCGAAACAAGGTCTCACACTGGAGCCCAGGCTGGTCTCAAACTCACCGTAATCCACGTGCCTCAGCTTTCTGTGTGTTAGCATTACTGGAACCTCCATATCAGGCTGACGAATCTTGATACCAGGACTAAGGTTGTTACCATGGTGACATGTAGAGCACTAAGGGACATGCAACATATTGGAGGTTGACTTGTGAAGAAAGATCAGAGGAAACATTCCCAATGAAGGTACACTTACATTGAGAGCCACTCACAGCAGACTGTAGTAGTAAAAGCGGTGGGAGAGGGGAAGTTTGCATCTCAGACAGAGTGGCTGACACAGCCACTGGGGCAGGAATGGGAATTGGGTTCCAGGACATGAGTTGTCCAGGGTGGGTAGGGGACAAAGGGAGAGAGAACTGGGACTAAGGCTGAAAGGCAGGTGGGCCAGATCCCACCAGCCCCCTGCTGCCTTTGCCACTGTGCAGTTTGAAATAGGAAGGATCTGCCTTTTTTGAGTAAGCCCCTAGCAGGGTAGATCTCAGTCAGGGGCAAGACTGGGGGCCAAGAGGTAACAATGGAGCTTTTGCAGTCATCAGATGGCCAGGGCTTGGAAATAGTGAAAGGACAGGGCCTCAAGCAGGAGTTGGCATCCACCTGATCAACACCGGGTGAGAAGGCTGAGGAATAAGGATGGCGATGGGTTTTGTGGCTTCGAGGATAGCAATGTCATCCACTGACATGGGAAACCCAGGCAGAGCTGCTGATTTCAGGGGATGAACGGGTGCCCTGCCCTGCCTGACTGCATATGTGGTGAAGACTGAGCTACAGATGAGAAGCTGCTTGCCCAAGATCAGCCAGCTGATAAGCAACGGCTGGACCAGGTCTACCCACCAGTGTACATGACCGCTTCAGAAATCCAGGGCTAAAGATATATAAGAACCCAGTGAGCAGCTTCTCTGAGATGACTGAACTCTGTGGAAGGCCATTAATTCTTCAGCCTTAAGTTCCAAGATGAGGTTGGGGAATAGATGGATGCCCTGCCTCTTGACCAATTGGTATGCAACCTCCTGAGGCTGATGTTTAGGGTAATCCTCCCACCTCCCAAGATTTAGCCACAGCAATGGCCCATTCACCAACCCAGAGATGCTCCTCTTGGGAGAAAGAAAGAACAGTAGAATGAATACTTGGATATGTAGTGTTTCCTATGGGCCAGGCATCCTGCAGGGCTCTCTGCAGGCATTATTTCAGGGATGGAAGTGTTACCATGTCTACAATATAGATGAGGATGCTGAGGCCAGGGAGTAAGAGCAAGATTTGGGACTTACACTACAGTCTCTCTGATGACACCAGGGTGCCCCTGAAGTTTGGATCCTGAATAATGCATGGCATTATCACGCATTTTGGGATTATACATCGTCAGTGGTAGAAGAAAGAGGCACAATACGCAGAAACTGGTTAGGGTGTTCCACCCAGAAGCAGGTGCCTGAAGTTTGAATTTTTCTCTATTTAGCATGATGCTGACTGTGGGTTTGTGATATACTGATTATGTTGAGATAGGTCCGCTAGATTCTCCATGACTTTTATCATGAAGAGATAGGCCTTTTCTGCATCTAATGAGATGATCGCATGGTTTTTGTGTTTGAATATACTTATGTGGTGGATTACATTTATGGGTTTATGTATGCTGAACCATCCCTGCATCTCTGGGATGAAGCCAACTTAATCATGGTGGGTTTTTGATGTACTCTTGAATCCAGTTTGCAAATATATTTTATTGAGAATTTTTATATCTATGTTCACTGGGGAGATTGGCCTATAATTTTCTTTTTTGTTGGATCTTTGTCTGGTTGTGGTATTAGGGCAATACTGGTTTTGTAAAAAGATTTTAGAAGTATTCTTACCTTTTCTATTTTACAGAATAATTTGAAGAATATTGGTGTTAGTTCTTTTATGGTCTGGTAGAATTCTGCACTGAATCCATCTGAGCTATTTTAATTTGGAAGATTATTTTCAATGTGTATGAGTGTTTTGCATGTATATATGTAAATGCACCTGTGGGCACAATGTCTGTGGAGGGCAGAAGAGGGCATTGGATCCCCTGGAACTGGAGTTATGAATGGTTGTGGATGCTGGGAACTGAACCTGGGTCCTCTGCAAAAGTAGCTAGTGTTCTTAACTGCTGAGCCACCTCTCTAGGTGGAATATTGTTTATATCTCATTGGTTGTTATGGGTCTGTTTAAATTGTTTATTTCATCTTGATTTAATTTTCAGTAGCTATATATATCTAGAAATTAAAACTCCAACACAGGAGCTGAAGAGATGGCTCAGTGCTTGAGAGCACTGGCTGTTCTTGCAAAGGACATGGGTTTAGTTCCCAGCACCCACATGGCAGCTAACAACTGTCTGTAACTCCAGTTCCAGGGGCTCCAACACCCTCTTCTGACCTCCATGGACATTGTACAACATGAATACACTTACGTGCATGCAGGCAATACACTTATACACATAAAATAAAAATAATAAAATATTTTAAAGTTACAACGCAATTCTTCACAGAAATTGGGGGGTGGGGGAAGGAATCTCAAAATTTATTTGGAAACACACAAAAAATACCTCAGGATAGCCAAAACAATACTGAATAATAAAATGAGGCGTTGGCATCACCAGCTTTGATTTCAAATTAAACTATAGAGCTATAAGTAATAAAAACAGCATGGTACTGGCATAAAAGCAGATACAACAGAATAGAATCCAGGACCTAGATTTAAGTCCACATACATACAGCTACCTGATTTTTGACAAAGGCCAAAAATACCCATTGGGGAAGAGACAGAATGTTCAACAAATAGTGCTGGTTAAACTAGATAGCTACTGTGGTGAGGCACCTTCTTGACCATAGTTATGCCATGTTAAATCTAGACTGAATCTAGCCTCTGAAACTAAAAGGCAGTTGGCCCACGGTGTAGGAACATATCACCAGGTCCCTGGTTGCCTGGAGAACATGGCAGTATGTCCCTAAGTGCTCCTGCTAACTGCAGATTAATGGCTTCTGTAGGTTATGCTTGGCTTGCTTTTGCAAAATAGCAATTGTTTAATATAATAGAAATTGTTAAGGGGGCTTTCCACCTCTAAGCTTGGGAACTTAAACTTTTCACCCCTGGATGTAGTTTTTCTGTATAAAAGCTTGCCCTAAAGATGGCTCAGGGCTGCACTTAGGACCTGAATGCCCAGTGTAGTCTCCAGCAGACTAAGAAAGACTTTCTTTTTTTTTGGCAATTTTCTGTCTGAATGGTCTTCTCTGGTGAAACACCCCACAATACTACATGTAGAAGAGTGAAACTAGATCCTTATTTCTCAGCCTGCACAAAACTCAACATAAGACCTGATAGCCTGAATTTAATAGAGGAGAAAATAGGGAAAACCCTAACTTATAGGTACAGGAAAGGACTTTCTGCACAGGACCTTGAGAGTTTTAAGCATTAAAACCAACGATTAACTGATGGGACCTCATGAAATTAAAAGGCTTCTGTACAGCAAAGGACACCATTATGTAAGTGAAGAAGCAGCCTACAGAAAGGGAAAAAATCTTTACCAGTTATACATTTAACAGAGGGTTAATGTATCCAGAATATACAATAAACTGAAAACACTAGATGAAAAAAATCAAACAACCCAATTAAAAATTGGGGCAAGGAACTAAACAGAGAATTCTCAAAAGATGAAACACAAGTAGTTGAGAAATGTGTTTTAATGATAAACATCTTTAGCCACCAGGGAAACAAATATTAAAACTACTTTGATATTTCATCTTATCCTAGTTAGAAAGGCTAAGATCCAAACACCAAATGATGACAAATACTGGTAAGGATGTGGAGAAAGAAGAACGCTTACTCCTCACTGGTATGACTGCAAACTGGTATAGCCATTATGAAAGTCAATGTGAAGGTTCCTCAAAAAGCTAGAAATAGATATACCACATGCTCCAGCTATACCAATCTTGGGCATACAGCTGGCAGACTCTGTGTCCTACTACAGAGACACCAGTTCACCCATGTTCATTGTTACTTGGTTCACAATAGCCAGGAAATGGAAACAGCCTAGATGTTCAACAACAAATGAATAGATAATGCAAATATGGTACATTTCAACAACAGAATATTATTCAGCTGTTAAGAAAAGTGAAAGTATGAAATTCATAGGCAAATGGATAAAACTGGAAACAATCATCTTGAATGAGGTAATCCAGACCCAGTAAGATAAATGTCACATATT